AAGAGCTAATTTTCCACTGGTGCTTTAGGTCCTGTCACCAACTGTGGCATTAAACCAACTGTGACAGGACCTAAAGCACCAGTGGAAAATTGGCTCTTGATGGGAGCAGGGATAATTCTTTGCTACAACAATGAAAAATGTAGCTGGGTGTGGTGGCGCGTGCCTGTGGTCCCAGCTACTCAGGAGGCTGAGGTGGGAGGATCGCTTGAGCCCAGGAGTTCTGGGATGTAGTGTGCTATGCCGATCGGGTGTCTGCACTAAATTCGACATCAACATGGTGACCTACCGGTTGTGGGGGACCACCAGGTTGCCTAAAGAGGGGTGAACTGGCCCAGGTCAGAAACGGAGCAGGTAAAAACTCCCATGCTGATCAGTAGTGGGATCGCGCCTGTGAATAGCCACTGCACTCCAGACTGGGCAACATGGCGAGACCCTGTCTCTAAAAAAATTAAAAAGAGAGAAAGAAAAGAAAAAAAATTAAGAGAAAAAGAAAAATGTAGAGATTGTGAGTACCACTGGAGGTCAGTTATCAATTTGTGGTGGGATGAAATAATTTTCTGTCTGCTTCTGCAGTCTCGAGGAGTTCCTTCAGCTCTGTAAGGAGCTGTAAGAAAAAGATTTGGAGGCAAGCTGGTAACTTTTGTTTGGAGGAGGTTATTTAATTTTTGAGTGGAGGTATACAGCCAGCTGTTGGACATGCTGCTGTGTAACTGGGGGCAGTTAGACCTGGGATATGATGATATCAGTGAGAGGAGTAATAGCATCAGGGATCATAATAACTAACGTTTAAGCAGTGAGGGCATATTTGACTCTGTTCTCGATGTTTTCTGTACATTAGCCCATTTCGATTACAACAGAGCTGTAAAGTAGATCCTAAACAACTGCATTTTAACATCAAAGTAACAGAGGCACAAAGAAGTTCAGTACCTTGGCCAGTGCTACATAGCCTGTAAGTTGCAGGGGTTGGATTTGATATCTGGCTCAAGTGGGACTCCAAATGCTACATTAAGGAAGCAAAGACGCTGGCCACTGTGTAAAACCAGCAGCCTTCTAGGGAACGGGCTAATGGAGAGGAAGGGCATGAGCAGGAGGATTTACCCTTGGGGAACACAGATGGTAGAGGAAATGACTTGGTGGCACCCCAACTTAGGCATAGAATAAACAGGCACAAACATAATAAAAATAAATGTGAAAGCCACACAATAATTTGATCAAATGAGGATATTACAAAAACAATACATAATATATATAGACTTGTCAAAATTGTGTGCAATTTTATCAAATGCTTTTCTGACCAATTGGGAAGGCAAGTAGTGCTGTCTTTGGTAAAAATAGATGACATGTTTACATCCAGCATCAGCTCAACTTGTGT